GAATATCAGCAGAGGCACCTAATCTTACGATAACTGCGTTAAAAATGTGCTGAAAAACTCGGCTTATACATGAGTATATACGGTAGTTCAAAGAACTCATCATATTGAAAGTGTCTGGAGCGTGTCAAATCGGCCTCACAGATTGTGACAAGCGGCAAAAATGCATCTCCTCTGGAGAAGATAAATGTAAAGAAAAATAAGAGGAATAAAACAGAGGGCCCAAATCAGTACATTCCAGATACCAACACGTTTACTAAACTCCATGAATAAAAAAACATTTCACAGGGTGAGCCTTACAGGAGAGACATTTTCCAAGCATGATGTCATAGCTATGGTTTTTATATTATTAAAACTCCCAAGATAAAAACTTCATGGAATGCATTGATACTTTCTTTCTAAAGGATGCTGGGGGAGCCATAGAAGATGTACATTCACATAGACAATGACTATTTCTTCTGTGTCACTCTTAATTTTTTAAAAATTACCTAAATCAAAAATATGTAGGCGATTATGCAGAGAATTTTCTTCCAAAAGACTCACTATATAATAGTGAATTTTTAAATTAAAAATATGTATCTTAAACTAGGATAATTTTCCACATCAAAGAGATAGGAAGGTGCTTCAAAAGAAATCTGTGAAAAATATCCCAGTATCTTTGAATTTCATTTTTCCGTGAACTTTTAAAATTCCCCACACATAATACTTAAGAATGGGAAATCTTTTTGAAAACAATATGAATAATTATGTTCATAATGCAATGTGATCAATTATGTTCTTAATTAATGTAAAAGATATGAGTGAACATAAAAATGTCTTTTGGACATTTAAGACACAAACTTAAAAAACAAAGCAAAACAGAAAAACTTTGTTGTCAAGTAGATTCTGATTTGCAGTGACCCTGTAGGGCAAAGCAACACTAAGCCATTGGGCTTCAAGACTAAATCTTTATGGAAACGCAGAGCTACATCTCTCTCCAGCAGAATGATCAGTGGGTTTGAACCTACCACCTTTTGCCTATTTGTCAACTGCTTACCCATTGTGCCAATGGGGTTATTTCCCTTTCTTTCTTAATATGTAGAAAACAAGAAGTTTTTATATCTGCTCCTTTAACATATGCATTAGTACTAAAGATCTCAGATAAAAAGGGAAAAAAATCATCCCTTGAACCCAAAAATAACAATAATTTTTTTAAATTTCATATAACTATTTTAAGACGTCAGGAGAGAAAAAGCATGGTATTTTGATAAGGTACCAATTGGTAGTACCAGAGAAACAGTATCTCGGTAAGGGCACTAACGATCATTACATATTACACCTCCCTCACCTGTCTGCCCTCTCACCACACAGGACCGCAATCGAGAGCTCAGGTTTCTACACTTAGTCTCCTTCAGAATCCGTGTCCCCATCATCTTACGATCCTCTTAACATTTTTACAAAGGCATGGTCATGATTCTTAATGTGGACATGCTTACCATGGAACATGCTACATTATAAAGAAGCATTCAGTAGAATAAAGAGATGAAAAGGGATCATAGTTGATTAGAAGGAGCAACGATGGAACTAAAGCCTAACATTGATATACTACTTAGCAATTACTGTATGTACTTGAGCATAAGATCAGCCGCCGCACCTAATTTTACCACAAAAACTGCATTAAAAATGTGCTGAAAAACTCGGCTTATAAACAAGTATATACAGTAACTAATATATAGTAAGTAATTTGCACAATGACAATAATATAGTCATCATACTTCATAGTATTCAATGCCTTTAACATATTAATATTAGTTTCATATATTCTATTCTACATTTCACACTCTAAGTTGCTTCATACCCTGGTCTTACACTTAAATGAGCACTCAATTTAATTATACTATGTTCCACTAGTTTTATGACATGCATGGCAGTATTTATGCTAGATCATTGTAAAGTTCTTGAGAAGAAATGGAGGCAAAGTATAAATAAGCCTCTATTCAATAGCATATAATCATTCACATTTTTAAAACTCAGTGCATTGTGGAAATGTGGCCATCCAGTGTGTGAATGCCTTCTTTCTGTGCACCCACACAACTAAAGCACTTCCAGAAATTCTTCTGTTGCACTGGGTTCTGCCTTTCCCAGTGAGTTCAGATCAAAATCAAAACAATGACAAAGACATAACCCAAGGCAGGAAACAGACACACTTCTGAGGATGACGTTGTCTCCCTACCTTGACAGAGGGTCCCCAGATCCGCACAGTTGGCTAGCTCTGCTGCTGGGAGTGGGATCAGGTAGGAACCTTAATCAACAGAGAAGGGGTTATACAAGTTTGACTCATGAACTAATGACATTATCCACATAAAACCCTGAGTCATTTCCTTGGTATACTAGGAGGGGCCATGGGGCAATTCCACCAGCAGGCTGCCAACCCTGGGCAAGTCACTGGTGTTTCTGTGCTTTCGTTTCCACAAAGGTAGGATAAAGGTGCTGAAATGTGCTCAGAATCTTCAGGCTTTGGGGCATGGGAATGCAAAAGGATAAGGAGTGATCTTGTCACAAAGTTTTTGTGTTAAATTTATGGCATCTTTCTGCCTAGTAATTCACAAAGCTCTGGTAGAAAGTTATACATATGAAATAATCAAGGATAAGTTTGAAAAAGTGAACTTGAATATTAGTGATAGGTCATCAAAGGCATATTCTTGGTTCTTGGGTACCAGCATATGCTATTTGCAATTACAAGTGTATGTTTTAAAATTTCATTCCCTCTCTCTCTCTCTTTTTTAAATTTCAAGCTTGTATTAATATCCTTAGCAACAAAAAAGTTTTGAGATGATTCCCGATTAAGAAGTTTCTACTAGTTGGGTTCTCTCAGTTGCACTAAATGTCACTGTAACAATCAACACATTTTTACCAATTCAAACTTAGGGAAGGCAGATTCAGCCTATCACAAAGCGCCTTGCACTGTGAATAAAGAAAGACCCAGGAGGACAGAACTGTAGCCCTCTCCATCCTCCAAGTATATGTTAACTTGGTTCACCCTGGATTCTCAGTGGTTTGGCAGTTATGCCATGATGTAACCATCCTCACAATGTTGCCTGATGTAATTATTCTCCATTTGTGATATGCTCTAAATTCTGATCTGTGTGTTACTGCTGCGAGATTAGACTATGTGAACAAGGATTAGGTTATGTTGGTTATAAGGTGCAGGATTTGGGTGGGACGCACATTCTTTATCAGGTTACAGTCCCATATCTGACAGAATGGGAGTGTTCCTGGGGTATGCCTGTAGAGTGGGAGAACAAGGAATGGTCTGTATCCTATTAATCTTATGGGAAATAAAAAGAGAGAGAAGCCAGCAGAGAGGGAAGTACCAATGACTATCCAGAAAGAAATGCCAAGAGCGGTACAGATCCTTTGGACCAGGGGTCCCTGTACAGAGAAATTCCTAAGTCCAGTGGAGCATGGAGGTCAAGTACAGTACATAGAGATCTCCACAGAACACTGGGTCCACAGAGGCTGAAAAGAGACAAGGAACTTCCTCCTGGTCTATGACCTGACATAGGGAGAAGGCTTTCTCCTGGAGCTGGGGCCTGGATTTGGACTTCCAGCCTCCAGCATAGTGAGAGAATGTATTTCTCTTTGTTAAAGTCTTTCACCTGTGGTCTCTCTGGTACAGCAGCACTAGAGAGCCAAGACATGGAGTAAATACAAATAAATGTTTTGCTTTGTTTAAAAATTTTAAAGGGAATTAGTATAATAGTGGTTTCATTCTAATGTTTAAATATTTCCCCACATGTTCCTGTGGGAACAGCACATGAAGACAGAGCAGTTGCATGAGCTCACCTAACAAAGGATGTCTAACTAGGTAAATGGCTATACACGTTAATAAACAAAAATCATCCCAGCAGTTTAAAAGCATATCCACAGACTTTGGTTTGTCATTCCTGATGGTCTTAGGCACCTGGCCAATGGTAAGAATCATATTGTATAAGAAAAGGTCAAACCTACAGGCAAGTCTATGGTGTTAACTGTCTATAAGTTCTCAACACCAACCACACTTCACCTGTTCCTTCAATGAACATAGACTCACTGCCTGCAATCCATAAAGAACAGAGACTAAAAGACAATGTCAGTCCTCTTACGGAGCTCTTGTCTGGCAAGTCAAAGAGGTATGAGTGGGTAGTAATGAGGGGTGATTATACACATCCCTATGCACTGTAAACCAAGTGTTCACGGGGTTATATTGTCCCAAAGGAAGCAGTGGTCGGGAAAGAGTGAACAAGGAAACCATCCAAAAGAAGGAGACCTGTGAAGCATATGAAGGTCCCCACCCTGACCTGGAAGAAAAGTAGAAAAGGGTATCAATGGCAGATATGATAACAGCAACTTATGCCAAGGAGACACTAAAAACTTTTGGGAACTCAAACAACTTCTCAGGACTGGCACAGACAGCACAGTTGCAGGAGTGCCTCCAGGAGGCACAACTGGAGATGTAAGTAATGGGTTGTTTGTGAAAGGGCTTGCAGGGGTACTCACACTTTTAAACAGGGGGCCAGTTCACTGTCCCTCAGACCCACTGGAGGTGCGGACTATAGTTTTTTAAAAAAACTATGAACAAATTCCTATGCACACTTCACATATCTTATTTTGAAGTAAAAAAACAAAATGGGGCAAAAACACCCAGCGGGCTGGATAAATGTCCTCAGCGGGCCGCATGTGGCCCACGGGCCGTAGTTTGAGGAACTTGGTTAAAGACTGTAAACACAGGTAGTTCAAGGAGCCTAAATCTTTCACAAGGATGTACACCCCACACTTAGGTGGGTATTCAGTATTTACTAAATACATTATTAATAACTCCTAAAATTTAAACCCCTATCTTAAATGTGATGGGAAAAGAATGAAGGAGCTTAGGTGAAAAAGTTAGGGACATATTTTCAAACGATCCTTGTTCACACACAACAACCAACTACAAGAGCTGAGATAAAGGAATCAGGAGCAATACTAAAAATGTAGGCTTGGTACTTGTGAATAAAGAGGCTAGGCAAAAAGGAGGTGGATACAAGGAATCTGAAACTACAAGTTTAAGATGTAGTAACCAAGAGGACAAGAAGAAACGAAAAGGAAGAAAAAGAGATGTCTTCATGATTTCTAACTTGAGGAACTGGCATGGAATAGAACACTAAAAGAAATCAGGCAACCCTGGAGGAAGCGGGGCGAATAATACCCCACCTTTTATGGAAAAGGTGTCTGCATGACATTTAGACACATGGCTTGCTTGTACATTTGGGGGGAAAAGTCTTGGCAGCAAATACTCAACAAAAGCTACAGATTGTCTGAGATCTCTAGGACTAGGGGGTGGATTGAAAACAGATGGAACCATAGAGATTACTGTATTTATTTATCAGATACAAGAAAATGCATTACAGACTTGAGAAGGTTAAGAAGGTGTGGCAGGAGGTAGTCCTGAATTCCATTGCAGTAAGTTTTAAGGAAGTTGCAGTAATAGCAAGTATACCAGAAAGGTCAAGAGATAATAAGACCTTTAACAGACAATGAGGAAACTTGGAGATGAAAGAAAGCAGACGTGGAGGAAGCTAGAAGGGGATTTTCTAAGACTGAAGTCTTAAACCAGTGCACTATGGCAAAAGAGTCCTTGAGGAAGCAGAAGGGACACCACAGAGCCACCCTAAAAAAGAACGTTTGTAGAATTTTATCTTGAATGTCTTCTGCTTGCTTTTGCTTGTTTGTTTCTTTTTCCTCCCCATCATGCTTAACATCTGCGCCCTCCTTCCAGAATCTCCTTTCTCCAAAAGGTACATATATTTTAGTGAGGGGTTTCTAAGAACTAAAACGCTGCTAAAAGTGCGAATGCCTGATGAAATCTCAGCCAGGGTGACATGCAACGGAGAAGACCATTGGACGACGAGTCTCTGCCTCTCACATTACATACACACAGTGTGGGCAGTCAGTCAGTGGCTCCCAGGCCAAGCCTGGCACCCAGACACTATCTCAGGAAGACAAAGGGAGTTAAGGGGACCACACTGTGGGAAAGAAGTTGTTAGACTAATGACATTTCGACTACAGCAGACTGGAAATCAGAACAGTGATGACATCGAGTAAGACTTTTAAAAGGTTTTCTTGACTATTTACTCCGGATATATGGGAACAATCTTAAATCCCAATACGTGACGGACTTGTCATGGGAAATGGTAGCAGTTGCTTGGCACCACTTTGATTATCAGAAGCTTAAGAGTGAAGTTCCTTCGGGGCGTGTCTAGATCAGCCCGTTGGCACTGCTTTATGCCTCTCCAGGAAACTATTATGATCCAATATAGCAATAGAAATTTAAAGACTTAATGAAGACGATGTAGATGTAAGATTTAAGTAAAAGGACACGATGTTGGTAAATTATGTAAACAAACACAAAATACAAAAAGTGTACAAAACATTTCTTTGTACACAGTTAGATTTCTTTGCATACACTTACAATTGCAACACAGAGCAAGGCCACTTTGCCCACTGGGTTTTCCTAGGTGAGCAGATTTACAAACCAAGAAATTGGTAATAGAGCAAAGACAGTCCTCTTTCCTAGTTGGTGACACATTTTTCTCAATAACTTTCAGAAAGTGACCAAGGTGTGTTTAGAGTTTTGTAGCTATCACAAGGGTGCTTAAAGGTACAGTAATAGAAAATAATTTTTTCCTCTCTCAATTCTCTTCATAGCTGTTTTAGGGGAATTTTTAAACAAAGTTATTTCTGGAAGTGATTTATTTACATAAGGAGTTTGGGCATCTTCAAAAAAATGCTGCATAAAGTTTATCTTTATTTTATTATTAAAAAATAGTTCAGTAGTTTAAAATAATATGCCCAATAAATTGGAGTCTTTATAGTCAATCACAATTTAAAGAAAGGATAGAAATGTAGTAAAAGAAAAGGGTAGAAATCCATCAGCTGTTGAAACCTTGTTAACTAGCTGTAAGATTCTGGAAAGAAACACAACACTCTGTACACATCCAGGCATTTTTGGTAAAGAATAACAAAGCTGGGACTACGTGAAGTATGTCTTATCTCGACACCACAGTGGTAGCTAAACAGAAGTGCTTAACACATGCTTTTAAATGAAAGTGACTTGTTTGAACTCGAGCTACTCATTGAGCAATACTGCACCACTCCTCAGGAAAGTGCGGTCATCAGTAAAATAAATAAAAATGATACAGAAGGCACTGTCTGTTCTCTGTGAAAATAGATGGGCATTAGCCAGTAGTTAAACTTGAAAATACAGGCAAATAATTACACCCAGAATTAAAGGGACATTATCTATCCAAGGAGGTCATAAAACTAAGTTTCTAATAAAACAGTTCTAAGAAAACTACTGCAGCTATAAAATGAAAAAGAAATACTTCTAAATAAAATATATCTATCTGAAAAGGAGAAGAAAAGATGAACAATGTGGACGGAGAGTGGGGGGGACCTGCTGAAAATTTCTTAGACGTGGTCTGTTCCCCGAATAAGCTTTGAAAGGATAAAGCAGAAATTCCAGCTTTGAAATCACTGAAACATTTATTAGTAACAAGTATAACTTACTAAAGTTAAGAGCGTTCATATCTGAAATAAATGAGGGGGCATTTTAATATTAAATGTGGTCACTGTTTATTCCGCTATTGTATTTTCATATTAAAATCTGCTTAGCAATTAGAGCGCTTGGGAAAGCTATTATATTTCTATCACAAGTTGGTTCTGAAATGAAAACTCATGTTTAACCAACACTGTTAACACAGTCCAATGGAATGTTAGGAATGACATTCCAGTTTTCCCTTTTGGCGCTGTACTGGTCATTCATTTGTTGGGCACATTACTACCCTAACCAACAGGTATAAGGTCCCAGAAAAACAAGAAAGGTTAAAATGGTAGCAGAGCACACTCTTTCTTAACTTACTGAAATTCTGCTTAGTTACCGTGCCCAGATAACATCTCTGTTACAGGTATTTCCTGTCAGTTAATAAGTGACTTGGGTTCTTTGACTCCCAAAGCTGATGATTAATCATCAGGAAATTCCTCCATTATTGTTCCTGAAACACAGTCCCGGACAACTGATTGTGCAGAATGAGGTGTTTCGCATCATTTTGGAATGCAAATAAGGCACCAATAAAAATTAAAGGGTGTGTTTTTACCACAATGAAAAACAAGTAAGCAAATTGGACACAAATACATTGACTCCATAAAATGGTGCTTCTCAATTGATGGATGTCACTGTGAGAGTACGTGTGTTGCATTCTGGACTCTTAAGGTTTCAGAGACGTCTCAACTGCCGTGTTCAAGAACATAGAAGGACTTCCGAACGATGACCAAGGAGACTGGAGAGGTGAATGAATCTCAGTCCTCCCAAGAGCCTCAAGCCTGGGCAAAGCCTTGCAGTTTTCCCCCTCGGCTCGAGAGTTCCTTTCTAGTTGAAGAGAAGGGTGGGCTCCAGATCTGGACTCCCAAACATAGAAAGATGGCTTCAGAGCCTTTGAAGGTATCTAAAGCTAGCCAGGTAACTGAAGAAAGGAAAACAGGGGTGTAGCAGAGGCAGTGGGGAACTATCCCACCAGAAATGTCGGTGAGAGGACTTCCCCAGCTGGAAGGAGGAGCGCAGGGTCAGCAAGTAGGGGAAATGTCCTCAGGGTTTTCCAAATAGTTCAAAGTGTGGGGAATTAATGTCTAACAACATGTTCTCCAAAGTCAAATGCAAATTACTAGAGAAGATGAGACCTCTTCCGCCCTTTTATTGAATGTTATTTGTGCCTAAAGAGTACATGGTATCAACAGCAGAGGGCTTGTCACATGATTTTCTAAGTCAATAAAGGCAATACTACTTTTAAAAAGTGAACCAGTCCAATATAAAAGCAAGGATTTCCAGAATTAACTATATATGGAATGGAGATGTGTGATAAAGATCTATTTTAATGTTTGTTACAAAGAACTTTTCCTCTAAATATAGTCAGCCACTTCCAATAATATCATTATAAAGTTTCTAAAAGAATATTAGGGGGAATGAAAGATTAGAGTATTTGAAGCAATGGCAAATGCTCGTGTTGAATTCATGGGAGGAAAGTTGCAGAGACAAAATTGATGATTGGTTATAGAGATTGTTTTCCCATAAAATGAACAGTTTTAATATTTAATTCTGGCTGAGTAAATAGCATTCTTTTGGATGGTGGTTATCTACTTAATTTTTTTCACAATAAAAATGTTGTGATTAAAAACAGTAACTTCTTTATGTATCAATTATTTCTAATTTAATTCATTCCTACCAACATTCCCATTTTGGACATGATAATGTATACATCACTGCTCTAATCAACTGTGTGGTGGGTTCTGACAGAAGGAAAACTGATTAGTGTGAACAAGCTTTGATTGAGCCAGGCTTGTAACCACCAATGAATGACTAAGCAGATCACATTCTTTAAATTACAGGAGCTCATTAATAACAATTCCATGTGTGTGTGTTTGCTTGTGCTGACAAAATTTAAATATCCACAGAACAATGCTGGAAGCAAAAGGTGAACATGCCGCAGACTTACCACAGCTCAGGTTGTTTTCAGCCTTCAGAGCAAGGGCTGGGATACTCCAGAAATCATTTTGCCAGTCCACCACATTGCCTTTCACGTTACAGCTGAGATTGGAGAGGATTGTGGAATTCATGGTAAAATTCCAAAGTCGAAAGTTATAGATGTCTCCTTTTAGAGAGGCAATTTCCTTTTGATTGGATCCCAACAACAATTTCCCATTCCCAGGAATAACTTTGCTAATGGTAGAATCACATGGAACTGTCCCATAGTTTCTTTTGAAATGGATACCAACCAAGCCCAAGAAATTATTCCAAACAATACAGAGCTGCTCAAAGCTGTCTGTGAAAATGTCTTCATTTGCCTTGACCGGTAACCCACTATTTAGAACACATTTCGAGCCAGAAATAGTTAGAAAGTAGTCGTTCTGGGCCTTCCCGAAACTGAGCAGTTGTGTGAAGGACGCATCGGAGTAGGAGAAGGCTGTCCAGTCATTGTCCTCATTGCCCATTTTGGATGCTTCAAAGCAGAGGGAGAAAGCGCTGAGCTCTGGGATGAAGATGTTCTTTGCAACAGACACCTGGTAAGCATTTAGTGTGGGGGGCAAAATGACCTTCTGATTCCTTAAGGACACAGCAACTATGATAAAACAGAACAGTAGAGAGAGTTGATTTTTTCACATTCCTAATGAGATGGAAAAAGTTTGCTATAATAAACCATTCCACCACTTATTAAGTAACATTTTATTCATCCTTTGCCCCATCACTCCCCTCTATTTTGCTGTCCATCTTATATCATTACCAATACTGCAATACGAATACCAATAAGAATAGGCATTATTTATTGATATTTTAGAAATTGGGCATTATTGACTGTTTCCATAAGCACTATCTCATACAATCTATTATAATAACTGTATATTAAAGTTACGTTGTCTTCATTCAGGAAGTTTCAGCACATTAGTGTTAAGTAAAAGACTTGAGATGCCATGTTCTTTTTCCTGGCTCCAGAAATCCATGTGTACTGCCTTATAATACACTTACCTGTAGCTTAACCCTTACATTTTTCTATTCTCTACATAAATTAGAAATAGCTTTATTATAAAAAACATGGTTTTAATGAAAATTTCCAGGTAAAAATACTCATGGTGGAATTTAATAGAATCATGGATTACAGTCTACTTTAAAAAAATAGTTCTACTAAATTAGAGTCAATAGAATGCTTCTGTAATATGAATCCAGTATTCTGTAAGCATTAAAAATCAAAAGTGCTGAAAAGAATTATCTCCAACACATTTCATTAGTGGTTATGGCTGAGTGATGGATATATAGTTAATTTTAACATGCTTCTATTTCTGTCCAAATTTCCTATAATATTTTCTAATTTAAAATATTATTTACTTAAAAAATAAAGTATGTGTGTTTTATTTAACCACACATGTACTCAAAGTCTATCACCATCAGTACATAACTGTACTAGCAAAAAACATCACAATTTACATTATGAGTAAGCATCTTCATAATTGTGTCTTTCATTTTTTTCATTTTTGTTTTCTCTTTTTGAACATCATATCTATTGAGAAGTTCATGAATTGAGAAATAAAAAAGAACAACTAAATCTAATATTCTTGAAAAAGGTGTCCTATAAAGATAGATTTAGAAGTAAGATGATTTAAATGCTATTATATACAGGATCTGGAAATTACAGTTGATAAAAATGTTTTTCTTTTTTAAAAAAAATATGTTTTATGTCCTTAAATTTTCCCATTTTCAGGGAATTTTCCTTGGGTTCCATCAGCAGCATGAGTTTTTTATATCCATTTAAAAATTTAATTTACAGGCTAATTTTCTATTTTTGCTCTCTCACACAGTGCTGTGAAGGGCAGCATCTTAAAAGCCCCAAATAAATGGATTTCTAAGTGGGGATGTTTTAAATGATCAGTTGGGAGATGTTAGAATTACAGATTTTAATTACTACCGGTAGAATATCTACTGTGTATCCCAAGCAGCCTTTAAATGTTCTGCATGTAAACAATATAAAAGCATTCAGCTTTACTGTAACCAGATTTTGGATCTGGTAACTATATACTACTAATGAGAATGCCGCAAAAATATTAACAGATTCTTGCCCTTAAATCCTAATTATAATCATTCACATTCACATAAAAGAGCCTAACTCGGTCTTCTGGTCCTTGTGTTTACTGCAGAACATGCTAAACGAAAGCAGAAGGTTGGCGCTGCCTTCGGTTTACATACCTCTCGTGTAGCTGGCATTGAAGCCTTTCTTCTGGATGCTAAAGTCACTTGAGAAGGACACACGCATCTCATTCGCACTTGAGTTGAATGACAGGCCTTTGGCAGTTGCTCCACAGAACTTAGTCTGGCTCTCTCCATTATCAAGGGATAATGAGTCATAAATGCAATTGGGAGCTTCCTCGATGTCGAAGTCATTAAACGTTATCTGAATGATATAGCCGGTGGGGGCCCAGAGGGTCCACAAACAAGCCTGGCTGTTAGGGTAGTCATTTGGATAGCACGGAGAAGTAAAAGTCCCCGATGGGCTGGACAGGTCCACCCTGCAGTTGGCACATCCCGATGCTGTTGGCCAGACAAGAGAGGGAGAAAGAGACTGGGATCAGTTACATTCCACACACTGGGGACCATCAAACAGTAAACATTTAAAAATAACCAAAATACAATAAGGAATAGGAAACCCCCCAAGGATAAAAAGAGATACCAGTAGAGCAACCAAAAAGGTAGAAGAAAAAGCACAACCCTTGGGACCTACAGTTCTTAAACTTGTGGGAGGTGGGGCCTTATTGAGTCAGACTGATGAAAGCCCTGGGAACTCTCTCCAGTGAGCTGCGCCGGGATCAAAATATATGTCAGGGAATACAGGAGGCCTCAGGAACCCAGAAAGGATTTCACAAGGGTTCACAGATCTGGGGTCAGCATACCTGCCCTAGGAAAAAACTGAACCAGGACACAGAAGTGGGGTACAAATCCATCAAGGGGAAGCTCACGATTTTAAGCTACAGGCAACGTGGACAAGACAAAGTTGGATAATCAATGGTTTTTGGCCTACTGTAATGTTCTACAATTCAAATAAATTGTATCACCCTGCATGCATGGAATGTCTACAGGTTGGAAAGTTTTTCATTTGTTTTATCATCACTGATTGTGATTTATTTATGTGATTATTACATTTACTCACTTGTGCAACAAATATTTACTGGGTATCTGCCATTTGCCATGAACTACTCAGAATAGTATCTACCAAGCTGCACGGAGGTGCTCAAACAAAACAACAGTGGTGAAGATGGTGCTGGACCAGCCCAGCTGCCTTTGTTGTGCAGGAAGGGGGTAGCCAGGAAGGAGTCAGATGAACTCAATGGCAACTAACAACAGCCAAGAGGGACGAAAGACCTGGCTAATCGAGTTTACCTGTTAGTCCTTTTAATCTTGTATCTGAAAATAAGTAATATAAAATCATAATACAGGGAGTTAGGAAGCATGAAGTAGAGCAGAGTAAGGGATCGGGTGTGCGTTATGAGATGGTGGAACACTGGATTAGTTAGGGAAGGCTTTTTCTGAAGAGATGCCATTTGAAGGAAAGCTCAAGCTATGAGCCCATCTAGGGGAACAGTACTGAAGGCCAAAAGAAAAAAAAATTGCAAAATTAAGGCCCATTTGGAAATTAGCATTAGTTTCTCTCATTAAACTATAACTTCCATGAGCTAAGAGTTGTGTAGCCTTTGCTTACCTCTCTAAGTATATTCCTAGTGAGCAGCATCGGGCCACCATAAGCATTCATTGAATCCACACATCAAATAACCTCTAACAGAGGGTCGCGTTTGTATTCCATTTCTCTGAGTTTTCTTCTCCCTTGGTTTTGATATAAGGCCTAACTACCAGGGTCTGTTTCCCACACTAGTGCTATTTTTTTGCAGTCAATATTCACCTTGCCTTTAAATCTTTGTAAAATGAAGGCACTGATTTTGTGTCCTCTACATTCTGGATAACGAAGGTGTCATATCAGTGACATTTAAACAATAAAGGATTTCACACCATGTTAACCAAAATGGTGTGCCTCTGCACTGTGCCTCTCTCTTCTACTGAGTAGCAGGAATATGCGAGAACTATTACTAACAAAATAGTACTTACCACAAATATTAATTTTGGTGGCTGCTACAAATATTAATTGTTAGTCTATCAGAGAGTGGTGTATGTAAGAGCTCATTACATGGGATTGGTGTTTCTCTTCTCCTAAGGCAGCCTCCTGGTATATATTGTTCCATCTTCCTGATTCTGCTCCCCATTCTTTCCAATTGGGCCTTCCTCCACTCTTTCCTTTAAGTTTCTGACACCTCACACAGGGACAGAGACAGACAAAAGCAACACAGTAGTGTCTAAATATTTGTCCAGGTCTTCTCTCTTCAATTGCTAGAGCACCGCGATCTGCTCCTTGGCAGCGGCTGTGTTACTTGTATCTGTGAGGCTGTTTGGTGACCACCAGTGTAGATGCTTTGCTAGCAGAAGGGTTGTACCTGTCACATTCACCATCCTATTATCCTCCAGCTTAGCACGAGTGCCTGGTATGTGAGAAACCTTCAGTGTAAGATTTTTCAAATGAAAGGTTGAGTAAATGAGTGGGCTCAATGAATGGAAACACCCTACATTTAGAGACCAACATCATGACGGGATATAATGTTTTCCCTACAAATTATAACCTTCAACCAAAAGTAGAGGGTGTGAGTAGCAGACCCTCAGTGTGGTTGGCAAGTTGGCTCTGTCTCCCAATTGTTTTACTCAGAATTGAAAAACTCTCTGGCCAATTGATCTTGTTAGTGAATGGAGTTCACCACATAGAAGTAATTCTCATCAATTAACAGCAATATCAAGTAATAAACACTGGAGATAAAAAGATGGAGCAAAGTGAGATGCAATCTCTGCCACCTCCCAACAAGCAGGCACGAAGAGGCATTGCCTCCACAATCAGATGCCACCCCCTTTCTCCAAGACGTGACTAGTGTGCATAGCCTCCATTATCTAGACATGTTAGTTCTGACAAATTCCTCCATAGGAGCTGAATGAAGTAGGCAAGTAAAGGCAATAATACATAAAGAAAGGGATAAGAAGATAGAGACAATTAACAGGACTGACAATACTATCAGTGTAGTCTTTGGAAAGTTAATCTCTCTGTGCCTCAGTTTCACCGCCATAAGACCATGCAGGATCAGGAAGTTTCATTCCGTTAGGTACAAGGTTACCCTGAGTCAGAACTGACTAGACAGCACCCAGCAACATGAAGTGCTTGCTATTACTAATGATCCTTATGATGCAAAATCTGCATCATCAACAATAGAGGAAAAGAGAAGAATCATATTAGAAGAATTTTGTTGTCCCTCAGACATTCATTAGGCTAGGAAAAGGGCAAGGAAATACATCCATAATATGCGCGCGCGCACACACACACACACACACAAATGGAAAGTTTGATTGTTGCTTAACATAGCTACAAAGATCCTCATAGCATTTAGTAATAGCATTATTAAATAGCAATTATTATCTTAATTGAATGGTGTTGCTTAACTATATTACCCATTAGTTCATGGTAAAGGGTTTTAAAATGTATTATTTTAAAAACCTTGGGAATTGCTACTTTCTCCATATTTAGATGAAGCAAAATGGGGCTATTGTAGATTAAATGGTCTTCCCAAGTTGAGGAGTCTCATTGAGAGCAGGATCAAGGTTCAAACCAGTTCTTTTGAGTGTGAATCGAATGTCTTTTTATTAGTTGTGGAGGAAGAAAGTCGACACAATGAAACGACAAGAGCAAACTGATAAGCACTACCGATGTTTTGAGACCTTCTCTAAGGGGCAGTTTCTTCGGCATCTTGTAATCACCCAACAGTTAATCTTTCCACGAAGCTATAAAGCCGTTGATTCGGAGTGCTAGAGAGTCTGGCTCTGGGTTGTCTACCTGGAGCAATCAGCTGTCACTGCTCCCCACGAGCTCCACCGTGAACAGACGTAACTAATTTCTCCTCTCAGAGGCAAAGCCACTTTGATAGGATGCTGCTTCGGTTCGCTGAATGAAGTCTTGGCAAAAACCAGGATTAACATAGCTTCTAGAAAGGACCTAACTCAATGCATCTGACTCAAGGCCTTTTCAAAGAGAGAGATGGTAACACAGTCACACCTATAATTTAGGAAAGCAAATTTTCTGGTAACCCAACCTAACACAAAACCAATTTCCACCCTCATTCTTCAGCAAAACATGAACCTTAAAAGGAAAGCCTCTGGTCATGCTAAAGCTCCTCTCAATTTATATATTTACAAAACCAACACTTCAATATGGCTTTAATTCGTATGAGCTCTGGATTTCTTATTTCAGAGACATGAGTTCTTACTCCACCCTTGCTACACACACTGCTCTATGGAGTCCAATACCGTGTTCATTAAAATTACTCCAATGCAAGAATTTCATATCCCACAAGATAAATGTAAAAATAAATTTTAGCTGCTTTCAATATGAATCTGTGGATGGAGGAATTGTTTTTGTTCTACTGTGTTAAATGGTAATCGGCATTAACGTATCTAAACTAAATCTTGTTCTTTATTTGAATGGGTATGAAATTGTCTCTAATGAATTTGGCTGGCAATGATTATCTACAGAGAAGTTAACTTCAGTGGCCTGTGCAGTTTGCATCTATTCATGCTCACTGTTTAAATCATCAACATGAATATAATACGTCATAATGAGTGAAAGCCTCACTTGTTGCTTAAAAAGGTTGAAAATATTTAGCAGCCATGATGTGTTTGAAGATGAAACCTATGAGGCAGCCATCAGAGAATTCCTGGACCAGCAATCAGGTCCGCATCAGTATAGTTGTCAGGGCAACCATACTGCTGCTCCTGCTCAAGTCCTGCCAGATGGAGTATCACTGAAATGTAAAATATAAATAACGCTTGGGCACTGGCATGTATTAAATGATGGATCGTATACAACACTGAAGGACTTCATCAAAATAAGTATGTAAATTTAAGTGATTCCAGGCCACGAAGCAGAGCCTTCAAGATGGAAGGGAATCTGACGACTGTCTGGCTGTGGCAGCTGCGATTCTGCTAATGTGGCAGACTTGGCTGGCGTCCCCGCTCCTCCTCAAACTCTGCACTCGGAGATAGCACTGCCACAGAGGAAGGTTGCTCCTCAACCGGGCTGATACCACTTCCACACAACATCCTGTGGATAGAAACTGCACGGTATTCCACGGGAGATTTCCAAGTTTTTCTTTTAGGGTGCTTCTGGATGGACTGAAAACGGTAACCTTTTCATTAGCAGCCAAGTCCAGTCACTGTTTTCTCACCCCACCCCACCCCCCAAAAAAAACCCCAATCAAGAATATGCTGGTCACTCTAGGCTCCTGTAAGAATGCGCAAACTCCTCCCAAAACACTGGTTTCTTCAGTAGCAACCAGAACACGGTTTGATTTTCCTCCGTGATGGTTCAACCTCAACATGGTCTTGAGAACACCATAGATATGACCCTATTGCAGTCACATAAGCATGGGTTCAAAGGATTATAGCTTTTAGTT